ATTTTGTTTTTTGTTTGCAAGTTAAGTCAAAATTTGTCAAAACCAACACAAGCACACCTCAATGCTGCTTTTAGGATCATTCGGTACCTCAAAAACTCACATGCCTTGGGTCTGCACTTTAAAAGGAACTCCTCACTCAAACTTATGGGCTTCCCCGATTTTGATTATGGAGCATGCCCTACCACCAGAATATCTACAATCGGGTTCAGTTTTTTAGGAGACAATATCATCAGTTAGAAGACAAAAAAGTAATTAGTTATCTCATGTTCCTCTTCGGAAGCGGAGTACAAAGCACTTGCCAACACATTCTGCGAAGCGCAATGGTTATTATACTTACTAAAATATTTCTGCATTTCACATCCTCAATCGGTTACAATTTACTGCAACAACAGAAATGCGATCTACATTGCCACAAACCCTGTTTTTCACGAATGTACTAAGCACACTACGCCAAAATTGATTTTTTGTATCGCCTACTTTAATAGCGCTTTTGAAATAAGCGCTATTAAAAAAGAAACAAACATATTTATAATAGCGCTTTATAGTAAAGCGCTATTAAAGAGTATAGAGAATAAGATTTTAATAGCACTTTGTAAAGAAGCGCTATTATAGATATTCACTAAGATAGAGCTTTTCTAAAAAGCGCTATTAAAATGTTGTATTACAATAGCACTTTTATAAAAGCGCTATTATTAAAAGAACTACGATAGCGCTTTTTAAAAATCGCTATTAAAATATGTAACTACAATAGCGCTTTCTATGGAACCGCTATCGTTTCTATAATTGTGTTTTAAGATAGCGCTTTTTTAAAAAGCGCTATTAAAATATTCCACTAAATAAAATTAATTAAAATATGAAAACCTGGCCCAAATGTTTTTCGTTTTCTCCCACGGAAAATTCTTTCTCCCACGCAAAATTCATCAGCTCACGGCCACCGCGAAATTCATCAGCTCACGGCCACCGCGAAATTCATCAGCTCACCCACTCAAAATTCTTTCTCCCACGCAAAATTCATCAGCTCACCACCGTCATCCTTCTCCGTCGAAAGGAGCCGCCGTCATCAGCTCACCACCGTCATCCTTCTCCGTCGAAAGGAGCCGCCGTCATTAGCTCACCACCGTCACCCTTCTCTTCATTGATATCCGGTAATCTTTCTTTTTCTCAGATTATTGCTTTGTGTTAAATTGTAAAATTAGGGATTTGAATGCTTTGTGGTGTAATTATGACCGGTAAAATTAGGGATTTGAATGCTTTGTGTTGTAATTTGTGTTAGTAATTTGAATGCTTTACGCCATGGCTTTCTCTTCAAACCCCAATCCCCAACAACACCAACGAATTGTTGTTGGAAGTTTCATCGAAGAATACACTAACTGCGTCGATATCCTCTCTTTCAACCCCGATACTCTCTCCATTAAACCTCAACCTTCACTTTCATTCGATCACCCTTATCCATCTACCAAACTCATGTTACACCCCGCAACCCATTCACCCCTTCAGAAAACATCCTCCGACCTCTTCGCTACCTCCGGTGACTATCTCCGCCTCTGGGAAGTTCGTGAGAATTCCGTCGAGGCTCTTTCACTTTTTAACAACAGCAAAACCAGCGAGTTTTGTGCTCCGTTAACCTCCTTCGACTGGAACGAAATTGAGCCGAAACGCATCGGAACTTCGAGTATAGACACGACTTGTACTATCTGGGACATTGAAAGAGGGGTTGTAGAAACTCAGCTTATTGCACATGATAAAGAGGTTTACGATATAGCTTGGGGGAATCGAGAGTTTTCGCTTCTGTTTCTGCTGATGGGTCTGTTAGGATCTTTGATCTAAGAGACAAAGAGCATTCTGTTAGGATCTTCTGGCTATGAAATTAATCAGCTTCAGTGGTCTGCTGCTCAGCCGGATTGGATTGCAATTGCTTTTGCAAACAAGATGCAGCTTTTGAGGGTTTGAATTTAGTTAAACTCGTCCAGTTTACAGGGATTTGGTGCATCTTCAGTCTACTCACCCTTACTCATCCATTTTGAATGGAAATGGTGTAAATTAGTGTGGTATATTTTTCTTTTTGAGGTTACCCCTCCCATTCGAGGGAAGCTAAAGTAATTTTTTCGTGTCACAAAAGATTGTACCCAACCAAGGGCTAAGCTTATGTCCATGCCTCCGAGTTTGAGTTTGATTCGAGATGGACGTCTCATGGGATCCACTGCCTACGCTCTTGGAGTGACTAGCTCCAAAGAGGAAGACGCGTCAGCTGCGACATAATGTGCATTATATCAATGCTAGGATTTCGGGATCGCGAGAAGGTGGGAAGAATTTCAAACGACGTGCTCCCACTGATCATAGCAGCTAACATGGCAAGCCACACCATATTTGGTCTTCTTGTAGATGATAGAAGTTCCAGTAATGTCATTTACATCAATACACTCATGAAGCTGTGGTTCAGTCAATAAGATCTATATACATGCGATGATGGAAATATATTCGCATTCAATAGACCCATAGCTCACCCTTCTAGAGTAGTGAATCTATCGTTATCTCTTGGAATAGGAGAAGATGAAAGCAAGGTAACTATTCATTTATTGATATTTTTGTGTAAAAGTGATTTCAACAGAATTATATAGAGATCTTTCATAGCGTAAAATCATAGTGATATCAGGAAGCCAATTATCCTCGATATCGACTTGAAGACAACAAGGCTTATTCATGATATCACATTTAGAAACCTCATCGTTATCGCATCAATGTCGGAAGAGGCTCTAGGATGGTTGACCTTTATGTATGTGAAGATGAGATAAGGTAGAAATAAGAAACATAAGTATTCTTAATATGATAAGAAGCATGTTGAAGCAGAAAAACCTATCACATGAGCTTTGGGGTAAAGTTGTATACACTGTTGTTTAAATCTTGAACATATGTCCTAAAAATAGGTTGATGAACAAAGCTCCTATGGAAGCTTGGTTAGGAAGTAATCCTAAAGTAAACCACTTGAAGATCTTTGGTTCTTTGTGCTACAAGCACATTCCTGATGCCAAAAGAAAGAAGCTAGAGAAGAAGAGCAAACCTATGATCCTTGAAGGCTACCATAATACAAGAGACTATATAGTGTTTGATATTGATGCAAAGTAATTTACCATCAACATATGTATAATAGTTTTGGAAGATTAAGCCTTGATTTGGAATACCAAACACAAGGACACTGTCAACATTTATGTGCATGTTCACTCTGAAACTTTTAACGTAGAAGAGGTTGGCTCTGAGGATAAACTAGAGATTGAGGATGCAAATGACAAAGAATCTGCACCAGCATAAACCAGGCCACAAAGAGCAAGAAAACTTACTAGGAGGCTAGATGATTATGAGCTAGTTCTTGATAATGAAGTAGCAACTGATGGAGAAATGATGCATCTTGCAATTTTTATTCTTACAAATATTTCTCAACTACTTGCAATTTTTATTCTTACAAATATTTACCAAACTCGTAAGTCTGCGAAATCTAAGAAAAGTTTTGCTGATTCCAACAAAACTATTGTTTTTCAGTTGTGATTGAGGAGTTTTGTTGCAGTTTTTTTGTTTTCGTTTTGTGTTGTTCTAGTCTGGCTTTTGTTGTTGAATTGTGGAAATTGTTGCACATTTGGTTGTCTAGCGGCACACTGAATCATGTGAAATATGAGATGATGTGGTTTATTTTATTTCATTTTGTTCATTAAGTATTTTGTTATATGCCTATATGAGCTTGTCCAAGTCATATATATGGCTTATTTGATGAAATTGTGTTTGAATAAATGTGTATGACAATGGAGCGGGAGTCCCCGACACGGATATCGCGATATAACACAGATAGACATTAGGACAAGACTGATATAACACGAACACTATACTCTAACTCAACTTAAGATCGTGAGAGCAGCACACTCTTAAGATCCAATACATATTTAACTCTTTTACATCTTTTAGATAGAGATTTGACAAAAATATATATAAAATGTGTTATAGCAAAGAAAAGAAACAACTTTTTAAAGACTTGAATTTGTGCAACAAGTTTGTGAATGTCGAATTGAAGTGTGGAAGTGGGACACAAATCTAAAGAACGTCGAGACAGAAAAAAACCATATTTTGAGGGACATTTATAAGACTTTTCCGACATTTATTATACTGATGTGATATCATGGCACGCCTGCTACATAGATGTATGGTTATGTTTTTACACAATTCAAATCACCTGTGCAATTTTACAGCGACTAGACAAAAGCTACAGCCTCTAAGTGTATAGTATTTGGTATAGGAATGGCATTTTCACATTCCGAGGCATTTTTATGCGAAAAAATATATGCTATACAGCGAAGCTTTTTTTGCGTTATCTTAACTTTTTAACACAATTTTCTGTAACTTATGATTTACGAAATAGAGGTTGTTCCTTCATTAAGGTTCTTGTTAGAAGACATGATAATATTGATATTCTTAGATTACCTTATAGGAGTAGTCTCTTTTTTATAAGTATCTTAGACTAAATCGGGATATTACTTTTCATATTTATCTTGTTATTATCTTAATTTGTTTCTCATGGTAGGATTTGAGTATTGTATTAACTTAGTACTTGGTTGTTATTAACTTCTTACATAAAAATGGTTATGAGTTATTAAATAAATTGGCTGAATGTTGTGATTTAATGGTTATTTTGTCCATGAATTATATATATTACGTGTTAGGAAATATGGATCGAAAATGGATGTTTGCTAGTCGAGCGTCAAAAGAATACGAAGATGGGGTTCAAGAGTTTGTTAGGTTTGCTATTGCTCATGTCAAAGACACTAGTAAAATCATATGCCCTTGCTTAAAATATTGTTATACGGATGTTAATGCAAATGTTTTGGAAGATCACTTAATATGTAATGGAATTGATAAAAGTTATACGTGTTGGATAATGCACGGAGAAAAAAAAACCAAGTCAACAAAGAGGAGCAATGGGAGAGATAAATCAAATGATTTTGAACAAGATACAAATTATGAGTTTGATCGAGTTGAAGAAGTTGTTTATAGAGCATCTACGTGTAGAGAGTATAAAAGAGATTCTTGATCACAATTGGTTAAGTGCCTCTGTTATCACTGTATTTTCCAGGTACCTCTATTATTACAAATTTCCTATAATCTGACAAATATATTAATATTTACATTGTTGACAAATATATTAATACCAATTATTGTTGTTCATTTCTAGGTATTTGTATGACAAGTTTATTAGTCCAAATGGATTAATAAATAAGTTCTCCTTCATATCCCCACATGTATCAAGGGAGGATAATCTAGGAAATGCTATAGCAAAAATACTTCTGAAAGACGAGGAGTACTTCAAGGATAAGATGATTCTTGCACCTTGCAATCTAGGGTGAGTTTTCTATTCAAAATGTTATTAAATTTATGAGAAAAAACTATATAAGTATATTATATGCATCAATATTATATGTATTGCAATGGAAGGTGAAGTATCCAAGTTCTGAGTGTATTGCAATATTATATGTGTTGCAGGAAACATTGGGTACTACTTGTCATCAATCTCGATGCTGAGGTGATATATTACATGGATCCGTTGAATGGTGAACCAACTAAACATCAAAATTTAAAAACCAAGTTTGAGAAGTAAGTATAGACTCTTTTAATTTAACATTTATATAAGTATTCTTAGTTATAATAATTACTCATTTGAAGTTAATTTCATTTTGTTAGTGCATTGCAAATTTATCGTGCTAATAGTAACTATAAAGTGCCTAAAGTCTCCAAGTCAAAGAAAATTTCATGGTCAAAAATTCGGGTATGTCCAAATTAACATTATTTTAAGACAATTATGTAGAGTAAAAGTAATATATGTAAATGTTTTTTTGCAGTGTCCCCGTCAAATTAATAGCATTGACTGTGGATATTTTGTAATGTGATTTACGAAAGAGGTCATCATGGAAAATGAAATTATGATCCCCATAAATGTACGTGATTTTAATTGTTAAAGCTTTGTAAATTAATGTAACTTAGTTATAATACAATTGTTGATGTTTTTATATTTGAAGTACTTTCCTGACCACAAGTGTCGTACATACTCTAAGGATAAGTTAACTGAGGTCAAAGATGATTGGGCTACCTATATGGTGGATGATATTTTCGGTAAGCCTACAATATATAGATACAATTAATACCTTACTTGCATATTAAAAGTTTGATTTGGTTGTACCATTTTGATCACTTAAGGTGTTCACAAATTAAAAGTTCATTAGTTGTACGTGATTTTTATGTTCAACTCATTTTAAATGTACGTGATTTTTATGTTCAACTCATTTTAATGGACTAGTGTTAGGTAAAATGATGTTCTTTTTTAATTATATATTAATATTTTGTTTTCAGGTTTTTGTTTTCTGATTATTGTACAATATACATAATCAATATTCTTTCTATGATGCAGGAAAACAAGAAGCAATGATTTTGCCTAGCTAGCTAGCAAACTGGTTGTATCTTTGGATGTAGCAGTGTTTTGGTTGGCAAAGTGGTTACTAGCTAGTTGATGTTGTTTTTGTTGTCCTTAATTTTCTTGTTTTTTTAGATGTTTTTTTTCATTAGTTTAGAGAATATGCCTAGCTAAGTGATTGTACTTTTTGTTTAGAATTTGGTTTGAAGTACTCTTAGCCAAAATAATATCTACATGACAAAATACTTTAGTTGTGTTTATAAAATATTTTGGTTTGAAGTACTCTTAAGCCAAATTAATGGTATCACATTTGTCATTATTATTTTAATTTCAAGTATTTTAGCTACTTAATTAGTTATAATTATTTTATGAATTTTAATGTTGTAAAATGCAAATGCCATATATATATATATATATATATATATATATATATATATATATATATATATATATATATATATATATATATATATATATATATATATATATATATATATATATATATATATATATATATATATATATATATATATATATATATATATATATATATATATATATATATATATATATATATATATATATATATATATATATATATATATATATATATATATATATATATATATATATATATATAATGATTTGGTGTAAAAAAAAGTGTATTAGAATAGGGTTTTGAAGAGAGTATGCTATAATAGCGCTTTGTTAGAAAGTGCTATCAAAATTAAAGTAATTTACCGGTATTTCAATAGCGCTTTGTTTGGAAGTGTTATCGAATATGTGGATTATAATAGCGCTTTGTTTGAAAGTGCTATTAAATATGTGTCTTATAATAGCGCTTTATTGGAAAGCGCTATTAAATATGTGTACTATAATAGCACTTTGTTTGAAAGCGCTATCAAAATTAAAGCAAATTACATGTGCTATAATAGCGCTTTTTTTGAAAGCGCTATCAAATATGTGACTTACAATAGCGGTTTTGTAAAAGCGCTATTAAAGACAGGTCCTATAATAGCGCTTTTAAAGCGCTATTAAAAATTTTGTTTTACAATAGCGCCTTGATTAATAGCGCTTTAAAGCGCTATTAAAAAGCAAAAAAAACGCTATTAAAAAACTTTTTTGTAGTAGTGGCATATCGAGATGGATTGCCATCTTGTTCACGGCAAGATCCAAGACAAAACAATTCACCTCATGTCAATCAACATTGAAAATCAAATTGCAAACCTGTTCACAAAACCTCTTCACCCTGATCCTTTTTCATCTTTGGTTGACAAACTAGGATTGTTAAACATTTACTCTAGTTTAAAGGGGTGTTACATTGTAACAGCCCAATCACAATTGGCTCAATCCTTTCGCTAGTTTATTTTCTGGTTTTTTTATTTAATTGGTGGGCGTATAAATAGATTTCATTTTTAGTGGGATAGTCATGCGTTCACACAAGTACTGGTGTGTTACGCGCATTTGTTTCTAAAATATAAAAAGAATGTGAAAAAGAAAAAGAAAATTGTTTTACCGAAAGAGCTTATTATTTATAAAATAAAAATATAATTTGATTTATATATGGATTAAAAATAAAAATATTTAAACTAAAAAAACTTGTTCTCATTTAAAAAAAATATTAAGATTTATTCATTAATTTTTAAAAGTAATATTTTCCATTAATAACCTATATATTAGTGAAATAAATAATTAAAAAACACTTTCCATATATTATTTTAAAAAGTATTGTATCTTAAATTAAAAATAATTTCAAAATAACAGAACTAGTAACATAAATAATTTAAAAAAAATCAAATTTTCCCGTGTTTGGATTAATACATTATTTTAAATATATTTACTTTTATTTTTTTAATTGTAGAAAAATATAATAACCTGTGTGTTTGCACATATTCTGGTCTGGATACCCGTGCGTTCACAAGAGTATTATTGTGTTATGCGCATTTGTTTTTAAAATGTACTCCCCCTGTAACAGTTTATAAGCAAAAAACACTCATTTTTCTTGTTACAAATTATAAACAAATAACATCAACTTTATTTCATTTAGTGCATCTTTAGTGCAGTTTCTGTAGTATTAAATTCTTTAATAATAATGGTAGCTATAAATAATTTGCATTGGAATAAGAATGACATGGCAATAAGTGAACTAACAATTAGTTTTCAACAACTATATAACCAACGCATACTATCAAATTTCAATGGCTCTGATTATTATTTTATAATATTAAAATATAAAACGTAGGGTCAAATTTTAGTTTTTTACAAGCAACCGTCATTTAAAGTAAAAACAACTCAAATCAACTATAAATTTTTTAAATCTTACAAATCACTTTGAGTCCACAAAAAGTATCTTAGTTTATCAATTTAGTTTACTCCTACTAAAGATGCTCTTAACTATCTTTTTCTACAAAATGCATCTTTTCCAAAGTAAAATTAAATGCAATTGCATTTAATTTGGTCTCTCCCTAATTTTTTTCCATAAATAATTTTAATATTTTTAAAGGAAAAACACATTTTTATTTATATAAGAATTATAAATATAATTTTTCAAAATATAAAAATAGTTGGATCAACGACATATTTTCGCTTATATAAATATTATATTTGTTTTGAAATTATTTATAAAAATATTTAGATTAATACAAAAGAATTTCACTTTTACAAAAAAATTTATGAAATAAATTAATTTTGTTATCAAAACAAACTCAATGTATATCATTAATCAGAAAACGTTCAATACAAAAATGAGCTAAACTCAATATATATATATATATATATATATATATATATATATATATATATATATATATATATATATATATATATATATATATATATATATATATATATATATATATATATATATGACACATCGCAAAATAAACTTAAAAACAATATATTCTTATAAACACGTTTAAATATCTATGACCCGTGTATTTTTTATATTTGCATAAATTATACAAACATTAATAATTATTATTGTAATTATTATTGAATATTATAAATCGTATAAAATAATAGTAACCTCTTATCAATCAATAAATTTATTATAAATGATATAAAAAACATATTGGATATTAATAGTTATATCTCCACACTCTGAAAATCTAATATTTTTATAAAAAAAATGTTTTTAATTATTATATTTAGAAGGATGAAAAACAAAATTATTATATTTTAAAGATTAATTCTATAAATAAATGTTATTAAATCTTTAATTTAAATTAAAAAAACTATTTAATATAGTTGATCAAAATTGAATAATTTAATATTAATGTTGTTAATTTATATAACACTGCATTCTAATTATTATCACAAATTAAAATTGATCACATGTATTATTATAAAATAAATTATAGTTAAAGCAAATTATATGTTAAAAATTTATTTATACACATATGATACGTTTTTAGTTTTGGCATCTTGGAACTCATCACATAATGAACCAGACATTTGTTTGCTACATAAAATACCTATGAAAAACTAGTATAAAATCTAGTTACAAAGTGATGGAAAATAATAAAGAATACATTTGACTAATTTTTATTTATGTACCTTGCATTTGAGTAAACTTCAAGTTTAAGACATTTACCGTGAACATAATCTGCTAGAGTTATGTAATACAATATTGTTTGTCAGAAACAATTTTATTAAAAACTTTCAGACACCAAATAAGAAAACACAATGAAAAACAAATGATCAAATAAATTAAAGAGTTGCACCCACCTGGAATAGAACCCAAGATGTTGCAACTAATAACCACATCCAAATTAGAGAACTTACCAATGAACCAAATGACATGAATTTTTCTATAAATAGATAATGTTGTGCAAATTGAAAAATATACGAAAATAATATATTTCATAACCAAAATTTATATCTAAGTAATTTTATTATTTTCTAGTGTAGGAGAATAAGTGAAAGAATTTTATTATGTAAAATATCGTTGATGGCTTAATATGAATGTGTGATTCATGTTAAGATTTTCAAAGTATCCTAAAAGGGATTGCATCCAATTTGTTTAAATTGGTGGGGACAAATCGAACATATAACTTAGTGTAAACACACGCTTTAAAATTTATTTTGTACAACTTTTATCATACAATTTTCATCTTCTTCCTTTTCATTTTCTAAAGCAAACTCCCAACACAAGATCTAACAAACATAGTTCGTTTTTTGATTTTGATCTATATTTTATTTATAATTAATAATAAAGTATGTAAATTTAAAGAAGATGATAACTTTCAAAAATAGAGAGATAAACATACATCTTTATTTATTCATTCCTATGATGAAATATACATAATTATTTTAAATAAATATATGTTATATGATGTTCTAAATCTTTGTAAAATATGATAAAAATAATATTTATTTATGTTAAGTTTAACATGTACAATAAATTTATATGTGCATGATTTATAAATTATACAAGTATTTGAATTTGAATAATTAACAATATATTTGATTTATGGTGTA